GCTCTGGTGAACAAACGTTCCCCCAGAAACTGGTGGTCACCCCTGATAAACTTATAGGTGGCCATCAGATCACCCCTGAGCCTGCGCTTTTCCAGGCCAACAAGCCCCATGGCTCTCAGCCTGTTGTCGTAAGGTCTGTTTTCCTGACCTCTGATCAGGTGCGTGGCTCTTCTCTGGACTCTCTCAAGCTTCTCCACATCCTTTTTGAATTGTGGAGCCCAAAACTGGATGCAGTATTCCAGCTACAGCCTCACCAAGGCCAAGTACAGCAGGAGAATGACGTCCCAGGATTTGCTTGAGAAGCATCTATGGATGCAAGCCAGCATTTTGGCCATTCTTGCTCACCCTCCTGCTATACCCCCCAATTTACAGTGGTCTGCTGGTAGCTCAGCAGGCCAAAAAAAAGCAGTTCTACAGGCCAAATCCAGCCCATGGCTTGCATGTTTGACACCTGTGTTGTGAAGTCACCAGGTAAAGAATTTCAGTCTCTATGCACACTGTCAAAATTCAAATGGTGACCTACAAATGGCAGGCCTCACATCCCATTATCAATCCTGCGAATCATATAATCCTCACAGAAATGTTATGTTCCTAGTAAAAGTACATTTGAACTCTAATTTCCTCTCAATTAGATTTAATCTACTTGAATAAGTTAATAAGGCTTCATAAAATGGGATGGTCTTTATGTAACTTCTAACAAAATTAAATATTAATAAACTCCTGTGGGAGTAAGATCAATGGAGTACAAAATGTCTTCTTGAATTTCTTCTTATAACTTGTCATTCTAATTAGCCACACATTTCTATATACTGTGTAAGAAAATATTATACATGACAGTGGGGTACTGAAGCAACATACAGGACAGCTTCAAAAACACCGGACCAAAGAAATATATGCAGCTTTAATGCAATGATGCTTAAGAATGTGTTCAGCTCTTCTTTAGGAAAAACAAATATAATGTATCTGTCCATCATGTACCATAATAAATGTTAAGTATTATATCACTCCAACCAGGAATCTGATTAATCTAAAAATTCTTCTCCCTAACTCTAGTCTGCAATGAGCCACAAAAACACAAGCAACCCCTTGTCTAAAGCAGCCACATTAAATTATCCCCATAGAGTTTCCAATACAGATTTTTCAGACCTTTACAGAAGAGCATCTCTAAGTGATCAACTTGTGCTAGTCTCTTAGGGTTTTTTTAAGATAGAGTTTCATGTTCCTTTAATTACAGAACAAGATGCAAAATATAGTATTTCTAGTGCAGTAGAAATTTTGTGAAAAGGATATTTTTCTAAAATTGCAAAAGATGGAAATAGTAGGCAAAACAAGAAAGGTGACAGATTTCTGTTGGTTCGCCCGATGAAACGAGACTGAAGACAATGAGGACAGCGGTGAGCAATAGCATGGTAATTTTTTTTAATAGGAAATTAAGATTTCAGGTAAATAAACCAAATCCTAGAAATGTTCTGTTTCCCTTGATTTTTTTTAATCTTTTATCAAAAATTCAGAACCCTAAAATCCAAAAAGTGCCAGCCATTACATTAATATATCTTGGTTTCAATAATTCCTCCCAAAACCCACACATATTATGACCAACTCTACGGGTGACATCTCTTTTGAAAGACTAGTCGTTCCTTCACATTACAAAATACATTATTTGACAGGCAAAAATGTAATAATACTTACGTTGGCATTCTTTACAGCATTTGCCATCCACGTATGCAGGTGCAGAATTAAGTGAACAATCAGAAAATGGGCAAATCAGTGCTTCACACTGGACAGTACCATTCTAGGAAAAATAAAACATGTTTTAAACCAAAAAGTATATTCACTGGAACTGAAGTTTTTTGGGGCATATACGAGTTTAGAAGCTACTTATTAAATGTGATTATTCCTAAGTAACACTCAAGTCCTACCATATTTTCTCACACACAATACATACTATCCTCCCACAAATAAATCATACATCTTGTTGGAAGGCAGATTATAGAAAAAAGATGGTTTCTGAACCATGCTGACTGTCTCACGGGATGCTGTAACAGGGAGTCAAAGGCTCCTGTTACTAAAGAGGGGAAGAACATAGCAGGTTAGCCTACTGTGTAGATAGACAGGCAGCTGAGGCAAGGGAGGCACACAGCAGACCTAAGCTGCAGTGGGAAAGAGCAAGCTGCCTATGAGATCCAAAGGGGACTACTGTCCCGTGGGACTGCTGAGTCACCAGGCTCTGATAGGACAGCACTCTGGAGTAAATAAGCTGAACACTTAGGAGGAAGAGGAGGAGGACTGGTGACTTGCAGGGAGCCAAGCTCTTCAGAGAGAGCAGCTGCATGCAAACCTTTTTGCAGGCGCTGAAGAGCTCCAAAGGCAGAGAGGTGAGAGCCCCAGGGGATGGGGGCTGTTCTAATGTTTATTAACCCAGAGGGGGAAGTTTTCATTAAAGCAGTAGCTTCTCTTTATGTTCTCATCTATTACTGACTGGGTGTGGCTAAAAAGAGTGAAGAGAAGGCCACAGTGGGGTGCCTAGGGCATACCAAAGTTTAAGTCACAGGGGAGTGGTCTGAGGGGCACACTGGGGTTTACAGTCCTGCCAGGGGCAGGTGTAAGACACTGATGACATAAGGCTGAGAAGGCCAATGCCTGAGCCTGAGAGGAGCAACACAGGTGGCCTGAATCCATGAGGGTCAGAGTTGAAGTCTGAGAGGGGCAGACATGAGGCCAAAGAAGCCCAAAGCCCAAGAGAAAGGCACAACTAGGGCCAGAGGTGAACCAGAGCCTGGGCGGGGCAAGAACAGGGCCAGGGGCCCAGAGCCCAGAAAAGGGGCGAGACTGGGGCTGAAGCCCAGAAGCCGAGGTCCAGTGCAGTGGGCCTAGGTTAAGAGGGGCCCAGGCAGAGAAAAAGGGCCAAAGCCCCTACAAAGGTTTTGAGGCCCAAGAAGTCCAACCACTGTGGTGGAGTCAGGTGACATCTCTGATGAAGTAGCGTGTCCCATCTGCAAGGCACTGGCATGGCTACAGGGGCAGAGAAAAGCCACAAACGCAATAAGGTACCCAGTGTCCTAGGACACAAATAGGACCACAACATCAGGGCATGGCAGACAAGTGGTAGGGAAGGGTACCCAAGGGACAAGAAGAGGCAGGAGTCGGGCATCCACCAGAGGACACCACACCGCCACTGCACGTGGGTCTTCTCACATGCCTTACTTCCTGGACACTCTGTGTTCCCAGAAGGACTTTGTCACACAAGTCAGGCTCCGACCCTTGCAAGGGCAGTAGTAAAACTGTTCTTTTTTTACTGTAAGTAGTTCTTTATACAAAGTTCCTCTAAATAGCATGTTATTCCCACAACACAAACCTAATCAAGATATTACCATTAGCTCACTTGCTACTTCAGGCACAACCTACAGTGCTTAGCCAAAGATTACAGCTGTGAAAGGGTTAGCACAGGACCCCACCCCTTCCATTTGCTCAGCAAGACACAAACAGCAGGTATCTTGACAGCTGCATGGCATCCACAGTATCTCCAGGCATGCTTCTTTTCCAATAAAGTAAACATCTTCCCCACTTAGGACATGCACCCCTTTTTGGGGGGGGGCATGGGGAGGGACTGATTATGGAGGGAAAATAGGATATATAGAAAGTTTCTTTTTGTAATTATAAGGATCAGAGTTGTCCCTAGGGGTATGCAGGGC